TGAGTTGTAAAAGGTGGTTGGTCTTCGCCTATTGAAGGAAGACTGATAGTGGATACCGGTGGCCTCGACGGAGGAGGAATCGGGAGTGGATATAGGTCACGATGACTGAACCACTATAAACTTGGTTTCCATTTACTTTGAGCAATTTACTTTTATAGCAAACTTCATCTAGTCCTTATTGTACTTTTACTACACCTACGCTCTTCCATACGCTTTCAAGCTATCTTTACGAATCGGTTTCAATGTACGAAAGATTTACAAATCGAAGAATTTTCTAAAACCGATGATTTTACCACTACACTAACTCACCCCCCCCCTAGTGTCGACTCATTCCTAACATGAAGCCCCCTCTTCGGAGTCCCGAAGTATGCTTTCTGGGGGGAACAAATGATATAGAATGTGCTGACATTAGCCTTGACCTGCCAATTGACTACCACCAAGACGTTGGCGAGGGCAAAGAGAAGCCCACATCACCCTTCCCCAACGACGAACGATAAGGCTATTAGGAAATCTTAATATATCATCACATGCATAGTGAAAAATAGAAAATAAAACTAGTTTCCCAAAAGAATGATATAGGAACTTCGTGCGAAGATTAGGAGCGAAAACTCAATAAACCAAAAAATCTCATAAGATTCGTGAAACATTCTCAGTTAGGGAGAGATTGTATATCCCCGTAAAATCACATATCTAAGTCCATGGATGAAGGAGGTTAGATGTCCTCCTTCTAGCGGTGATCCACACGGCAAATGAAGTAGTAACGCTCCTCCTTTTGTAGCATGAATCATCGTAGTCTTCACTTATCATCTCGTAGCAGTGATCAAGAAGGGCTGGCCCCTTCTGACTATCCTCTTGCACCACCAAGAGGGCTATCGGTTGAGAAGGAGAGGGAGGGAGGAGAGTAGGAGGTGGAAGCCAATTAGGTCTAGCCTATGACCCATTTGGTTCCCTCCTATTTATAGACGTCCCTATCAACTTAACCCTAATAGATCCTGTCCTATTGGGTATTTGATCTATATCCAACTACCCTACCATCTTATATTAATGGATCTCTATCCAATAATCACTATTTACTCTTATTGGGTCTCACCCAAAAGATCCAATAATACAAGAGCTTATTGGATATCCAAAAAAATAAGAGCTCGACAAATATCTCATATCCAATACCGAGCTAGCCATGAGTTACACCTATCAGAACTCTTTCTGACTTAATGAATTATTATCTCTATAATAATTCACTCAACTTAGCAACTATGGATATGCTAGGCCACTACGCCATAATCCCCAAACGATACAAGGGAATCCAATCCATTGGATATATCTACTCTCGATTACCATGTATCTATAATCCCTCATCTATCTAGTATCCCAGAGATCATATATTGGGCATGGTACTATCAGGCCTATATAGAATCTACTCGAGCCTCACTCTAATCAAACTGTACTCAAGAATACGTAGAACATTCCTCCCATGACATTGAGAGCGAATAATCATTTATCAACACTTAATCGCTCTCGTAAGGTTGGCTACCACTCCCGATGACCGATTGTACTAAATCTGAAACTTCCAGAACCATAAGTCTGGTATCAAAGAGTGGAGTACTCATACAAGACATCCTTAGTGTCTTAAGTTTAAGGACCAAACACACAATTGAGACCATGAAACTCTTGTCTAATGATGAGGTATCGTTAACCATCCAGCATTCCGTGAGCGGATCATTCAATGAACTCATTCTCTAATAAGCACTTGCATTCTATCTCTAGTGTCCCTACACAAACAGCTATGAGACTAGCCATCTCCATTATATAGATGGGTATACAATACATCAATCTGTTCGGCTATCTCGATGTCCCTATCGAGTAACCTATATAGTGAAATCTAGGGGTGACATTACATGCGCAGTGGAAGAACATAAAACAAAAACCCTAAATTTTTCAAAAGGTGTTCATCATCGTGCGAAGATTTGGTGTGTAAAAACTTACAAAATTGAAAACCACATATAAGATAGTTATATTATTTAGGGAGATCGTATATCCCTAAATTCCTACAGATCTATAAGAGAGGATGAAAGAGGTCAAGCATCCTCCTTTCTAGCGGTGATCTACACGGTAGGGGTTACGAAAATGCTCCACAAATTGCTGCCTAAATCTCAACATCTTCTATCTGAGGAGGAGAAGGGGAGAGGAGAATAGGAGGTGGCAACCAAGAACCCTAGCCTATGAACCCTTTGGTTCTCTCCTATTTATAGAGGCCCCCTATCAACTTAACCATAATGGATCCTGCCCTATTGGGTATTGGATCTCCATCCAACTATCCAAGCCTCTTAGATTAGTGGATCTCTATCCAATAATCTCTCATTGGCTCTTATTGGATCTCATCCATATGATCCAATAATTCAGGGTCTTATTGGATACCCAAGATAGGGGCTTCGACGGATATCGTATATCCGAACCTCTACTTGTCGCAATACCTATTATATGTGTGTGACCCTCTAGGCCCAATATCAAGTTGGCCATGAGTCATACATATCAGAACTCCTTCTAGCTCAATAAATTATTATCTTCATAATAATTCACTCGACTCATCAACTACGAACGTACTAGGCCATTACACCATAGTCCCCAAACGATACAGGGGAATCCAATCCTTTGGATATATTTATCTTTAATTACCGTGTACCTATAGTCCCTCATCCATTTATTATCCTAGAGATCGTATACCAGACATGATGTTGTTAGACTCATACGGTTTCTCCTCGAGTCTCGTTCTAATCGGATTCTCCCAAAGAACTCTTTCTCTCTCAATCCGAATGACCTTGGCTAAGGATTTGTCTGAGCAAGAATATATGAGATATTCCTCTCATGATACCGAGAGGGGATGATCTTCTATCAACACTTAATAGTCCTCGTAAGGTTGGCTGCCACTCTTGATGACCGATTGTACTAGATCTGAAACTTTATAAGTCAAGTATCAAAGAGTGGAGTACTCATATAGGACATCCTTGGTGTTTCAAATCTAAGGACCAAGTTCACTAGTAGGACGACGGAATCATTGTATGACAATGAGGTATCATCAAAACTATCCAGTATTCCGTGAGCAGATCTATTAGTGAATACATTCTCCAATGAGCACCTGCACTGTAGCCCTAGTATCTCCACCCGAGCAGCTATGCGACCAACCACCTCCATCATATAGATGAGTATACAACACATTAGTATGTTTGGTTATCTCGATGTCCCTTTCGAGTAACATATGACCAAGATTATTTAGGGTATGTGTTTAAAAGTGAATTGGTCTCATTATTGTGATCTTATCACGATTCAATTCTCATTGCACAGATCTATAGACATAACAATATATTTATAAATTAAGCAATATAAAGTGAAAAAATATCATAATAATAATATGCAAAAAGATGGCATGTCATGTTAAATGTGTCACCACTCACGTTATTGGCTTGCAGGACACCTATGACTAGCAACCTATGATCGAAAATATTTAAGGTATATGTTTATAAGTGAATTAATCTCATTATTATGATCTTATCATGATTCAATTCTCATTGCACAAATCCAAAGACATCACATTATGTTAAGCAGGTAATATAAAATGAGAAAATCTAATAATAATAATAATAATAATAATAAGTAAAATGACTGTATAGCATGTCACACATGTCATCACTCACGTGAATGACTTGCTAGACACTTATAACTAGTAAGGGTAGCAACATACTACCCCTGATAGATTGTAACTTAAGGGAAGGCGGTATAGACTGATCGTCAGGAGTAATAACCCCTCGGTAATAAGGCCTGTTTGCCCCCTCTCTCGTTGGCTTGGATAGATGATCGTCGTCCGCCTATCCTTGGTAGTCACTAGGACTGACAAACGACACCCCTATAGTCATCCTTCACTCGTAGGGAACTATGCCAATCCGTAGTTCGCATAAATGAGTCACAGGAGGGCGTGTGAACTAGTCCTCATCAGTTGTTGGTCTCCCTTTTATCGGCTCCCCAAGTAGAAAGTTGGTCTCCAAAGCCTAAGCAAGAGATCGAATTGAAGAGCCTCTACTATTTCTATTCCTCTAAGATTAACTTTACTATTGGAGGGATTGAGTTAAGAAATCCCTCTGACACTAACCTCTTGTGCAAGGTCCTTGATGAAGTCAAGGCATGCCTCGATTGACCCTTAGAACACTGAGGAGGTCAGGCCCACCTCGATCCGACTCGAAAGCGATCTTAGACGCTTAACTGCTACCTCGAGATCACTTCGGTCAAACCTTCCCCGACTTCAACTACCTCACATAATCGCCACGTGGGCTATCAAAATGAGCTTATACCTTCAAGATAGAATCAAACCGTATCGACCCACAATTAACTACATCAGTAAAAAAAACACTAGTAATAACTTAAAAAAGGACATAGAGTAGTTATATTCTCTCTTCCTCTACAGTCAACAGTAGGGCTTATGTCATTCTGCCAAAAACAAATTGATAACAGGTGAGTAGCTAAAACATTATTGTGAGGGAAAATAGAACGCACCAACCGAATGCTGGCATATGGTCGCTACCATAATTGTTACCTCATAAGCAAGTCAGCTAACGAGGATACAGGTGTCTCCCATCCATGCCTATGAGTGAGGTCTCCCAAGAGCATTAGTCGCATATCGATGCTACCCGGCAATGTCAATTTTGGCACCCAAGCACGATATATTTTATTATTATTTATTTTATCAACAGTGTGGTATTACTTTTGCGACATGTTTTACTCGATGTTATGTTTTACTCGATATTGTTCGTTCGGATTACTTACTTTGAGTTCTTTTCGATACTTTGAAAATATTATGATTGTAAAATGTTAGAAAAACTTTAGACTTTTAAATACTTGTTAATATAATTTTGTAATTTCAATAATGATTAATCATGATTAATTAACTAATTAGACCTACTACTATGTATACCGAGGATGACCGCCGACCAATATTCTATGTTTGTTATTAGCCGAGCGTCTTTGCCCTATTCGCCTTGCCGCACTCTAAACCCCCGCTCCGCCTCCTCCGCCGCTGCTCCCCTGCGTCTCCTCGGCAGGCCGCCTCGATCGTCCCCTTTCTTTCCCTTCCGTTTCCCTCAGGTCGGATTCGGAGAGTGGGTCGTAGATAATATGTTCGCGACGGCGGTTCGATGGATGGCAAAGAAGCCAAAGCCGAAGATGAAGCCCATCGAGCCCCGGACGCCGCCGGAGCAGACCCAGACCATCACCCGCGCTATATTCGATGTCGTCAAGGAGCACGGGCCCCTTACTATCGCCGACACTTGGGACCACCTAAAGGTAGTACTTGCAAGTCCCCTCTCGCGTCTCCCCGTTCATACAAAGATTCTCCTTTTACCTTCAGGGACGATTTGGTAGTGTTTAGTTTGGTTTAATTTGGTGTATTTTTAATAGAACCGCTCGGTTAATTGGTCGCATAATAGGAGTCCAGAAAGAAATGTTGGCTGCTTGTAAATGAATGCTTAGTATCATCCTAGCTTGATAAGTATCACCAAAGGAATGCATCGAATATACGTAGCAAGTGAAATGGGGTTAAAAAGTGATAATCTTCTCCACCTTAAATGAGAATATGCAGTTGGTATTCACAAGTTATCCTCTTCGGTGATAATTGGAAAAAGGTAACTATGTACCTATATGTATGTATGTGTGCATGTATACCTAGCATAGTAATATTCTAGCTTGAAAACTATATATATCACCAAAGGAATGTATCAAATCAATGGGGTGAGTGAAATGGGGTTAAAAGTGATAATTTTCTTGATTTTATTAGCTTTAAATGATAATATGTAGTTAGTATTCACAAGCTCTCATCTTTGGTTTTAATTGTGAAGTGAAAACTACCCATATATACGTATGCATGCAGCTTAGTGATATTCTAGCTTGAAAACTATACATTATCACCAATGGAATGTATTAAATCAATGGGTCATGTGAAATGAGGTTAAAAATGATGATATTGTTCATCTTAAATGAGAATATGCAGTTGGTAATTGCAAGCTGTCATCATTAATAATTGGGAAAAAGGCAATTATACATATCTACATAAAATATGACTCACGTTAATGGGATTGCTGAGTTTAGAAGTAGAAGAAAGATAAGCAAGGATTGTAGATTTTTTGCAGAAATTGCAGTGTCAGGTTCTAATGCAGTATTATCAATGGCAAAAAAAAAAATATATATATGTCAAAGAAAAGCAATGTAATTGCTGGGAACAATTGTTTGAGCAAAAAAAAGTGCAAACAGAGGGTTAGGAACGAACACCTTAGGTCACATGTCATGTTACAGGATTTCTAGATAGCACTTGATCAAGTAAATACCTACTTCACATATAGTAAAAATTATCTTCTAGTTTGCAAACCTCACGACTGTCTCTTGTAATGCATGCAAGTGTTTCCTTTCCGAAAATTCTCATTACTTATAGGATTTTTACATTAGTCTGATGCAATTCAAAACTATAATAAACTTCTAGGGCCAATAATGTTGCTGAGCACGTGGAAGAATCTGGAGACTTAGTCTAGTCTGTTTCCTTCTTTGAAGGTGACCTTTAGTTAAACTTTGATGTTGTATCTTCTATTCTCCATTTTGGACTTCTTCTGGTTCTCAAAATCCCACTTGTATTCGATAAGATTGAATCCATCAAATAAAATCTGAAGGTCCTCAAACATGCCATTGTTACATTGAGGTGATATTTTATTATCTGGGACATGTTTTCTTACACATTCTCCTTAAATTCTTAAAGATCCAGCACATTATCCAAAATTTCCATATTCTCACAGATGTCCACAAATGAAATCCTTGACCTAAACTTTGTTGTTGTTAAGCAAGCTATGGTGATGTAACAATTTTCAGTTTAATGTTGACATTATAGTGGTTGACTCTCCTCGGGAGGTTTGTATGTAACATATCATTGTTAACTACAGGGAGCAGCTATATTTTTATTTTTCACAAAACATAACAAACACTCTTGTTGTTGCTATCCTCAATGGATCTTGTTGTTTGAGTCTCCCAAACTTAGACATATGCCTTATGTTTGATCCCTTTGACCTCATTGAAAATAAGAAACTAAAATCCATTTCTTGGCCTTGGGGCAAATGAATTCTATTACAGATAATATGATTTAGTCACAACAGGACAATTCTAATAGGTGCATGTAAGAATCTAAGATATTGATGTTTGCTACTGTCAGAAGTTTATATAGGATTTTTTTTCACATAGCTTGAAGTGACATATGTGCAGCAAGTGCACTTTATCTTTTGACATTTATTTCATGATGATAAAGTGTTGGATGACATATCATTGGTTCCACAATTTTGTTTTAAATATAAATTTTTTTTATTTTTGGCCATGCCATTTAAACACGGGTCTGTAGACGTTGAATATGAGGGGTTCCAGGTTACTTATTTTTGTCAGATATATAGACTTGCTGTAACCCTCATCACTTGCTTCTTTACTTTGTTATCTATGAAGGCTTAAGGTATTGTCATTTTGCCAGCACTCAAAAGTTGATAGTCTTTCAAGAATAAAAGAGATTGAGAAATATTAGAAGAAAAGGACCAAAAGACTAAGTCCAAGCCTATTTATTTGACATCATTAACTTCTATCAAATTTCATTAGTCCAATAGTTCACTAGTTATACTCAGTGATGGGGTGCTTGTGTCGTCTGACCACCACTCATTGGGTTGGTTGGCAACAAAGATTTTCATCAAGAAAAAGAAAAACTATAATCCAATGTATCCAAAGGTGTTAGGTACTAAAAGGTGCCAAGGTGCCCGAACGATGTGAAGCGCTCACAAATATTAAAAATTTTAAAAAAATATAATTAAGAAGAAATATGAATCCTAAAATAAAAATGAGAAATTACATGAGTTCTATCACTTTATATTTCAAATATCAGCACCAAAACGTCAAATTACATTCATTTAGCATACCAAAGTATAGTATTTATCAAAATATGCTCTAGCTCTCGCTTAGGTGCTTGAGCGAGATAATGCCCAAGTGCCTCACCCAAGCATCTCGCAAAATCTTAAGACGAGGCATTTCAATTAAGCATCGCTCGGGCTCTCGCTCGAACCAAATTGGGTAGAGGTTTGAGCATGGTTCAATTGAACGTGCAAGCCGGTTCAATCAAACTAAGTAATGTACCCTAATACCTCGACCCAGTGAGAGAAACTCAAAGTGAAAGTGCAAAACCCTACGTCTGCTGTTGTTGCCTTCGTTTATATCTTTGTCCGCCACTGTAGCTCCATTCGCTGTTGTCGCCTTTGTCTACAGCTTTGTTCATCGCCATTCACTATAGTAGCCTCGTCCGTCACCCTCTCCTTCCTTCGTAGTCGTCGGTTACTTCTCCTCTCAGCCCATTCTTTCTCATTTTGATTAACTTGTGGCACCATATTGAGGTGGTGCACTGTTACTCTATTAGGAGTTAAAACTGTTTAGCAATTAGCATCATATTAAAAATACTGTATAGCATAGGTGGTGCATTGCTGTAGCTTCGTCCGTCACCATTCACAGTTGTAGCCTCGTCTATCATCCTCTCCTTCCCCCACCTTCCTCCGTAGTCGTTAGTTACTTCTCTTCTCAATCCATTCTTTCTCATTTTGATTAACTTGTTGCACCATATTGAGGTGGTGCATTGTTACTTTATTGAGAAGTAGAACTGTTTAGCACTATATTGAGAAACTATTTAGCATAGGTCTCCATCAGTAGAACCTTGTTTAGCATAAGTCTTAATTTTAATGTATATTTTAAAATTTTAATATTCTAGAGCGCCTTGCCTCACTCAAACGAACGCTTAGGAGAGCACTTAGCGCCACGGGTATTTTCGGACCTTAGCACCTTTTGGCGCCTAACACTTTTAAAAATATTACCAAAGTACTATATTGTCCAAATATAATAATAAAAATATCTTAAAAATATTAATATTAAAAACCTAACAATTTCTCTCAAGAAAGTCGATGATCAACAAATTCATATACTATAAACCATTATTAACGATGATTAACATTACATGACTACGAGAGAAAGAGAAAGAAACATAGTAAGGGGAGGAGGAAGAAGTAGATAGAAGGAGAGGAAGGGGGCATGCTGCTGATTATTGGTTAGGAGGGCAGTAGGTAACTATTAGAGGGGGGGGGGGGGAGGGGAGATGCTGAGAGGGGGATTGTCGAGGTCGAAGGAGTTAGAAGATGGTGAAGGTATTGTCAAGGTTGAAGGAGTTGGAAGATGGTGAGGGTGGATTTCAGGGTCGATGAGGGGCTATGATGAAGTGGGGAGGAGGGAGGGGGAAGGATCGTGTCGGGGAAGGGGGGAGCTGCAATAATGTGGGGAAGAGGGAGAAAGGAGGGGGAGGAGGGTGTTGGTGGAGGGGGTGAGTTGCGACGAAGGGGGATGAGGGTGTCGAGGAAGGGGTTGAGTTATGACGAAGGAGGGAAGAGGGAGGAGGAGGATGGTGGTGGGGAAGGGGGTGAGCTACAATGAAGGGGGTAGAGGAGGAGGGATTAGGGAAGGGTGGCTGTAACGAGTGTTTGTTTTTTGGTTGGGGGGGAGGATGGTGTTGAGGAATGGGGGAGGGGTGTTGTGATGTTATGATGAATGGTGGGAAGAGGAAGGAGGGAGGAGAAGAGAGGGGGAGGATGGTGTTGAGGAATGGGGGAAGCTGCTATGAAAGGGGGAAGACTGTCACGGACAAAATTCTAAACAGGATGTTTGATATAATGCTTATGTATGTCCGTGTATTTTGGTTTGTTCATGCTTTGTACAGCATGTAGAGGGACGGTCGAAGGTTTAACAACCCTATTTTAGTTGGGTTTAGTGGCCGTTTTAGGCTTGTAAATAAAGGTTGTGTCATGTGGACACTTGTGAGAGATATTCGGTCTGTAGTGGACCATTTTGACCCTTTGTTGTACACCTGTTCAGAGCTTGTAAAGTCTGTTTGTAATTTGCATTGGTTATGAAGTGTTTTCTAAAATGTTTGCTTGTGGATCCCGAGTGAGGCGTTTTCTCTAACTTGTTTTCTCTTTTGTAGGTCCTAAGGGACCATAGGAGGTTTCGGGGAGGCTGACCTTTGCGGACGGACATGCAAGGGTATCGCACGACTTAGGTAAAATCATCTAAGTATGTGACAGATGGTATCAGAGCGGGACAAGCACTTATAGAAACACTTGGCATACAAACGTGGGGGACCTAGCAGGGCTACGTTGAGGGCAGTCAGCACGCGCGACCGTTTGGGGGAAAACTGGCATGGAGATGTAGGGAAAAGGAGTCGCTTGGAGGAGCGGACA